CTTACAAGTGCTTTTTTTTTCTTTTGGTAAGTGATGAAAATAGTAACACCAGCAAACGTCAAAAGTCTACTTTTCTCCTAATATGATTGTGGCATTCCCTTTGGAAGGCAGACTTTTCCTTTGCCTGAAATTTATCAGTTATTAATTTGGATTTTGTCAAAATAATTAGACCAGGCTCGTATACTTCAGTACGATGCCGTCATGTGACAGAGCACATGGAATGTGCAGAGTCATCTTGAAAAACGAACGATGAAGACAGGACAGGCTCCAGGTGGAGCCTTGGAGTGTAGGAAGAGGTTGCATTCTCACCTCGTCTCCTGAAGGGCTGGCTGAGCAAGAAAACCCAGCCCAAGGAGTTTAGGTAATAAGTATGGAATTGTCGACCATTTTCATCTTTTCCCATCATAATTTTTAAAATCACATATATTTTTTTTTTCTGCTGCTAGGAGAGATTTTCTGCCGAAATCTTCCCACTGACTTCTGATTTAGTCCATTGCCAATGTGTTTGTGCTTGACTCTCATTTGGGCATCTTTCCTCTGGGTCTTTTATTTAGGATTATTTTTAGAGAGAAGAGAAGGGAAAATGAAGTATCCCTATTCAGCACAGGGTCCAAGTACACTGGCCTTGTATGGATGTGCTTAGGAGAGGCAGGAATGGACACTAGAGAGGGCCCAGGAGTGGCATTTATTCCAAGCCTGCCTAATATCAGTACAGGGACTGCCTGTGGGTATTATAGTTATTTTGAAAGACTGAAAATAAGCAAAACGAAAAAAAAAAAAAAAAAAAAAACCCAAAACTCCCTTCCAGTTCAAAACTTCAGAGGGCAAAAGTTCAAGAAAGGATTTATTTTTAATGTTGAAAGAGAAGAGATTGTGAGCAAAATCGAGAACAGTGATTAAAATGCAAAACCCCAGGAAGCCCAGAGGTGCTGTTTGGTTTGTTGAGTGTTTTTTCTGAGTCAGAAGCCAGCTTTATATCTGCTTTATTCCTGAAAGGTTTTTCTAACTGGTTGGTAGTCTACAATAAAAACCATTTTCTACAGCTTTAATGTGTGCTGAGGAGGGGCGGGGGATGCTTAAAAGAAGTCCTATGAGTAAGTAGACCTTGCTGATGAGGGCATTATATTTGCAAAGATGTGCATGCATGTGTGTGTGTGTTTGCATTCTTGTGCATGCTTATTTGCAAACACAAGGGGCAAAATCACAGATAAGCATAGCTGAGACCATAAACTAGCAGTAAAGCACATAACTGATATGGATCTACCACTTTCTTAGGCTTCGTAACTTAACATCTCTTACTGTAACTAACTAGAAGAATTTACTAGCCGTGTGCAGCGGCTCACGCCTGTAATCTCAGCACTTTGGCAGGCCAAGACGGACGGATTGCCTGAGCTAAGGAGCTTGCGACCAGCCTGGCAACACAGTGAAACCCTGTCTCTACTAAAATACAAAAAATTAGCCAGGCTGGTGTCGTGCACCTATAGTCCCAGCTACTTGGGAGGGTGAGGCAGGAGAATTGCTTGAACTCGGGAAGCAGAGGTTGCACTGAGCCAAGATTGTACCACTGCACTCCAGCCTGGGCGACAGAGCAAGACTCTATCTCAAAATAAATAAATAAATAAATAAACATAAACAAATAAAAAGAACTTACCCCTTGCCTAAAAATGAAATCTATTTATAGAAGCCCAAAGCTGTAAGGGACATTTATATCATTTATTATGAATGTGTTCTATGAAAAACCAAGATCCAAAAAAGTGACTTGCCTAAGGTGCTGAGTTGTTGTCAAAGTATTTTATTCCCCACCTGGTGGTCTTCATCTTTGTCATTCTTATGAAGCTTATTTTTCCTGAGAAAATAAAAATCATACACGACCACTACAGACTTTTGGTAATCCAGTTGGTTTATCTGTTTGTCAAATGTGTATTGAGCACCTGATATATATGTCAGGCACCATCTTAGGCTCTGGCATCACAATGATGAGGAAAACAGACATAGTCTCTGCTGTTGGGAGGTAAATTGAATCTTAAAGCTATGTGAATTGGTTCTATGTATGTTGCTCTTCCTTTGAAGAAACTTACAAACTAATTGTAGCCTCTGCATCCTCCATCTGTACCAGCCAGGAAGGAACAGACTAGCTTAGAAAAATCCTTCAGCCTCTGCTGGAGGGTAACAAACCTTGGCCATGTACCTGGTTAAGGGATACAGTGGCTTCCCTTCAAACAGATCTGCTTCCCAGGGAAGTGACCAAGAATGACACAGGACAAAATCAAAGTGCAACCTGCAGGACTGTGCAGGGTGTGGAGGAGATGGGATTTCCTTCATTCATCCTCCTCAGGAGTGATTTTTACAACAACACAGTTCTCTTCAGCACTTCTTCCACCAGCCCTCTCAGGGAAACAATGACTTACTGAAGGAACCTCCTGGTTCGACAGTCTGTTTTGCGGGAAAGAAAAAAAGCTTACTTGCAGCAAGTAAGAAAAAATAAGTAATGGCTTTGGAGTCTTGGAAGCATCTTAAAGTATGGGCCGAGCAACTAGCTTTAGACATTGAATCTGAGTTTATGCCAGCTGCAGCCGAAACATCACTGACAACCAGCACAGGGAACTCGCACGGCTTGCTGCCTTCCCTCAGACACACTTCTGGAATTCTCCTGTATCTTGAAGATGTGGAGGGAGCACACAAATAAATAATAATGACAGTAATTTATTAGATTATCTTGCCTTTGCTCTTTCCAGAATGTTATCTTTGGAGCTACTCTTGTTTTGAAACTGTTTTAAATCAAACTCAGTTCTGGCTGCTTTGGCTTTTGGTGAGAATATTATGAGACCCAAGAATATTTCAATAAAAACATGTCCATTGAATGTGTATTCATGAGTTGATAATGAGTCCATAATGATCCTCAAAAAGAAGAATGCCAGAAGAAACTCATTCAAGGCAGCTCGTACCAATGTCTTATTTCGACATTATGCAACTGAAAGAAAAGCGCATCTAATGTCCTTCAGGTAGGAACTATCTTTCAAGGTAAGCAAATAGCTCTAGTTGACAACATAAAGCTTGAAGAATGACAGCTAAATGTAGAGGTATGATAGAAAATCATAATCTTGCAATTCCTAATGAGAATATAGATCCAGGCAAGGACTATTAACATGTGCCTGGGGACATTAGGGGAGTGGTTGATGGGACTTGGACATCTGTATGGTGCCAAAGTAACAATATGATGATGTGATTCTGGTCTTCAGGAGAAAAACAGAATTGCGCAATCAAACTCAGTTCTGGCTGCTTTGGCTTCTAGTGAGAAAAGTATTATGAGACTCATCTAAAGGTTGATCCTGGCATCAGGAATAGTGGGACAACCAGTTATTCCATATCTCCTGGGGTCATGAATTCTGATGTCACAGCATCACCCGTGATACAGTCTAGTCAAAGATGTTTAACTTGGGTCTAATCAACATGTAGATGTAACTTCCAGGATATACAAGGGAAAGAGGAACAAGATAAATGACACCACTGGCAAGCATGATGGGGTCTCTATAGGCCACTGGCCAAGTGGCTGCAATAAGAAGCTACCCATGAAGACACTGGCTGCTGGATTAAAAGATGGAGAGAGAACATAACAGCTAGGTGTAATATATGGTCAAGGATTGGTTCATGGTTTGGACAAAGAAGCTGGAAAGGACGTTTAGGGAAACATTTAGTGAATTTGAATAGTAAATGACTATTAAATGATATTAAAGAATGATTATTAATTTTAGGTGTCATAGAATTTTTTTTTTGTTAAGCAGGAAAGTGTCCTTTTTTAAAGAAATGCATTTTCAGATAGTTTTGTGGGCAATGTTGTGCATGATATCTCTAACAGGACACACAGCTTGACATTATGTGTGAGACAGATTGTGATGTTCAAGCCCCCTGTGGACAGGTTGAACAAAGTGGACATTTAACCAACAGTCTTTTCAGAGACTAGCAGGTAATGTGTAATTACAAATTACTATAAAATTACAGAGTAAAAGTTTCGTGAAACATTTTCCGAAGATTAAAGTCTGAGAGTAAAGAGTTAAAAAGGAGTAGACTATTTAGTTCAAAATAATGAGGAAGGCATTATCATAGGAAGATAACAAAATTTTAAGATGTGATACATGATTTAATTTTAATATTGCTGTTAGAATCTAATTTCCACTTGTCATAATGAATAATTTTTAAAACTTTTCTTCACTCATTGCTACTCAAAATCTTCACTGACTAGTAAAAATCTTTCAACTACAGGGCAACTGTTATAAATTATGATAGGTCCATATCTCAAATATTATGAAGTCATTAATAATTAAGATGTGGATTTAATATTTGGTTAATATTTAATGACATGAAAACATGTTTATGGCAATGTTCAGTGCAGGATATGCAACTTTATTATAATATAGTCCTAATTTTATGTATTAATAAGTGTAAATGATCAGGCCCCAGGTTATTGCCGAAAGAGGGATAAAGACGCACCATTTAATGTAGTCCTAATATCATTAATTATTAAAAGAAAATATAAGAGAGAAAAAAACACACATGAGGAGACAGTAAAAATCTGTTTAGTTGACCAAGTATGAGTTTCATTATTGTCTGTTTTAAACAAGGGAGTAGGTTTTCTCACTACATTCAGCCAATGTGGTAAATTTTCTGATATGTTAAGAGACTCACAATTTTACTCATTTCCAAAGCTGAAAGTTGAAGAGTTGAAGCCCTTTTGCCTTTCTCAGAATGACCACACTTAGAGTGAGCTTCCTCACCACCAAGTACAAGAACACATGGTGGGCCTGGAAAGGCAATTCTGCTCTGAGGAATGTGAGGCAAGCATAAACCTAATGTGATGGCAGAGCTGTCACACCCTGTGGCCATCCATTACATTTCCTCTGACTGTTCTTTCACTCGCCAGAAAGGTAACCATGCCTGTGCAGCTCCCAGGAGATCCAGATCCACAGAAAGAAATGCAATCCTTCCTGACAGGCAGCGTTTCCTGCAGAGAAGAAGGAGCTTCTCCAATGGTCACATGTATAGAAAATGTTGAAGAGACCTGCCTCTTTCATAGGAAGGGTAAATAGAATTCCAACCACATTGAAAAACACCTCTCCCCCTGCCTATTGAAGTAGGATACTCAGCAACAATTCAAAAGACTGCGGTCTACATGTACCGATGAGGAATGACCTTCAAGCTTCATTATTCAGTGAGTGAAGCCAGAGTTATAACAACAGAGCTTACAGAATCTCACACACACATACATGCTTCCACATGCAAACACATGCATGTGCACACACATACACACACTCTAGCAAAGAAAAGATGAACACATACCAAACTTTTAGTGATAAATATATATGAGGAACTAGGAAAGGGATGGAATAAAAGGGAATGTTCACTTTTCTTACTCTATATATTTCTGAAGCTTTTGGATTTTCTTTTTACAACAGGAGGTATTCATTTATTTCTCATGTAATTTTAAAAGAGAGGGAATGATGAATTCATACACTCCTGGTAGAAATGTATATAGTCATTCGAAAACAGTTTGACAGTTCCTCAAAAAGTTAAACATAGAGTTATCATATGACCCAGCCATTTCACTCCTAGGTGTTTACCCAAGAAAGAAAAAAATATATGTTCATGCAAATACTTGAGCATTTATAACAGCATCGTCTGTAATAACCAAAAATCAGAGGCAACCAAAATGTCTGCAAACCAATGAATGGATAACAAACTGGTATAGGCCATGTAATTGAATACTATTCCACAGTAATAGGGAACAACTGTTGGTACACACAACAACGTGAATACATCTCAAAATGATGCTGAGCGAAAGAAGCCAGAGAAAAGAGTATTTTTTATGTATTTCAATTCTAGAAACAAAATTCGAGAAATGCAAACCAAAGATCAGTGGTTGAATGTGGTGAGGAGACGGGGAGGTGGGAGGAAGGAATTAAGAGTGGGTTCAAGGACACTTGGGGTGATGGATATGTTCACTGCCTTCATTGTAGTAAAGATTTCTCCAGTGTGTACTCAGCAAGATTTATCCAATTGCATACTTTAAACGTGTAGTTTATTGTGTGCTAAATCATAACTCAGTGAATCTATAAAAAAAGTAATACATGCTTAATATAGAATATTTTGAAATAACGTAAACATGAAGACAAAAAAATTAAAAACCGCTACTCTTTTGAAAAGAAAACCTTTAACATTTTGGCGCTTCTTCTCCCAGGAAAGTTTCATGTCCATCATGCTGTCAGCTCTACAAGGGCAAGCCTGCTTGATTCAACAGCTGTATTCACAGAACTATGCCTGGAAAAGCAAAGGTGGGATAACTAAGTTTGGATAAATAAATGAATGTGTAAAATACCCTACCCTCTTCATTTCATATATTATGAGGGCTTTTTCATGTCACCAACAGTTCTTTGAAAATATAACAGTGGCTTCACACCCTTCCACTGTCTGGATCTACAGTAACTGGTTTTAGACTTGGGTTGTTTAGAGTCTTTCGATATAACCAATGGTGCTGTAATGTTCAGCTTTATATACACCACAGAAGACTCGTATTCACCATGGTGTAATGTTCAGCTTTGTGTACACCACAGAAGACTTGTATTCACCATGGGGGCTATTCCACAATATTTAATGGATCCGGTTAAGTAGGTTAACAATTTGGTTGGCCGGTCGAGGTGGCTCATGCCTGTAATCCCAGCACTTTGGGAGCCTGAGGCCAGTGGATCACAAGGTCAGGAGTTCAAGACCAGACTGGTCAACATGGTGAAACCCCGTCTCTACTGAAAAATACAAAAATTGGCTGGGCATGGTGGTGCCTGTAATCCCAGCTACCGCTTGGGAGGCTGAGATAGGAGAATTGCTTGAACTGGGACCCGGGAGGCAGAGTTTGCAGTGAGCCAAGATTGTGCCACTTCACTCCAGCCTGGGCTAACAGAGCTAGACTCCATCTCATTAAAAAACAAACAAACAAAAACAAAAACAAAAAAGTTAGGTTTTGCATTGTGCAGCTAAAAATAAGATAGCTGCAGCTGGGTGAAGTGGCTCTCGCCTATAATCCCAGCAGTTTGGGAGGCTGAGGTGGCCGGATCACTCGAGTTCAGGAGTTTGAGAATAGCCTGGCCAACATGGCAAAACCCCATCTTTACTAAAAATACAAAAAATAGCTGGGTGTAGTGGTACATGCCTGTAGTCCCAGCTACTTGGGAGGCTGAGGCAGGAGAATCACTTGAACCTGGGAGGCAGAGGTTGCAGTGAGCTGAGATTGCTTCACTGCACTCCAGCCTGGGTAACAGAGCAAGACTCAATCTCAAAAAAACCCAAAAGATAGTTACAATTTTTATCTTTTAAATTCATTTGTTAATTGCCTTCTCTTTGTTTCAGTTTCCCCTTTGGTAAAATGGGAGTAATAATAATATCTTTTTCCCAAGGTGGTGTTAAAATTTTAAATGTGGTGTGAAAATTGCTTATGACAATGCTGGGCAGAGTAAACTTGTAATGATGTGCCCTTCTGAGCCATTCTTGTGCCAGAACTGTCCTTGGCTCCTGCCAAATTCCCAATTCAAGGTTTTTTTTTTTTTTTTTTTTTTTCTTGCACCTGCTAGTCTGAACACATCCATCAACCTTGCTTGAAGAATCTTTGGGGTAAGTTGGAATTAAATGGCAATACTGGAAGTTTATATTGTTACTATTTAGAACTTCTTTAGAAAACTCATCTTAGGCTGGGCACCGTGGCTCATGCCTGTAATCCCAGCACTTTGGGAGGAGGAAGAGAGGATTCCTTGAGCCTAGGAATTCAAGACCAGTCTGGGCAACATAGTGAGCTCTCATCTCCATAAAATATCAAAAAATTAGCCAGGCATGGTGGTGCATGCCTATAGTCCCAGCTATTCGAGAGGCTGATGTCGGAGGATCACTTGAGCCTAGGAGGTCAAGGCTGCAGTGAGCCGTGATTGCACCACTGCACTCTAGCCTGGATGACAGAGCAAGACCCTGTCTCAAAACAACAATGGCAACAACAAAGAAAACCTATATTAGCCAAAGATAAATGTCAGCCCCATTGGAATTGGTTCCACGTTCTGTCTCTGGATAGCTCTGGTGATGAGAAGGGTTCAAGGGCAGCAATTTTCTTTCAAGTGGATTTTGCCCAGCTTTCTACTGAACTTGTGTAACTGAAACTTGATTGAAACCACTCGCTTCATAGAGTTGTGGTAGCAAACCATAAATCATTCTGGGCTCCCTGAGAAGTTTACCAGGTGACTCATAACAAAGCTGTTTGATTAAATAGTTTTAGAGTAGAATTTTAGCCAAGTTTTGGTTCTAGATTCTCAGCATTTAGCAGAAATGTTCAGCAAGTTACTCACATACACACGTAAAGTTTTTTCATCTAGGTCAACAGAGAGAAAAATGAATATGTAAATATGTATTGAGTCAACATCTGCAAATACAGCTTTAAGTAATAGCCTCTCATTTTATAGCTAAGAAAAGTGAGGGTAAACAAGATTGAGTGACTTGCTCAAATTCTCAGTTAATAAAATAGGGGGGTAAACCCAGCTCTTTCCGATTCCAAAGCAAGTATATCATTTACATGATAGAAAGTCATAGTAACAGCTGATATTTTCCCCACACATCACACTTTATAAGGCTCTCTGGTACATTGTCTCATCAAGCCCTTATGGTCCTTCTCTGTTCAGAAGGCTGCCATGGGGCAGGCCTTCTTCCCACACCTCCCAAATGTGGATATAAGACTCTCCCCTGACATCAAAGTATGGTCCTGGCCCAGCAGCATGGGTATTGCCTGAAAGCTTGTTAGCCATGCAGACTCTCAAGCCCACCCCAGACCTTCTGACTCAGAATCTGTATTTTAATAAGATCCCCACTTTGAAGAGCACTCTCACCAAGTCAGCCATCAAATGCACGCATGATGGCCACAGCAGAGGTACACAGGGTTGCTGAGAAGGCAGAACATCCCTCAGTCTAGCAGGTCTTATGTGGCACTGACTGAAGAGCTAAAGACAGTGTGTGTGCATAGGCAGGAAGGGATGACCAGAGCATGAGCTCACGAAGATCACCACTGGCATTGCTTGGGGATGGAGGACCATGGTTAAAGGCCATTAGGAAGGTCAGTCCTGCTGCGTGAGGGGTGCACAGGCATCCAAGCTTACTGATGCTGTATGTTTGTTATGGGAAACCCTTGGGATGCTAGACTAGGCAGAAATGTAATCTTTTTTTTTTTTTTTTTTGAGATAGAGTCTCGCTTTGCTGCCAGGCTGGAGTGCAGTGTTGCTATCTCAGCTCACTGCAACCTCCACCTCCTGGGTTCAAGCAATTCTCCTGCCTCAGCCTCCCGAGTAGCTGGGACTAAAGGTACATGCCACAACACTGGCTAATTTTTGTATTTTTAGTAGAAATGGGATTTCACCATGTTTGCCAGGCTGGTCTCAATCTCTTGACCTCGTGATCTGCCTGCCTTTGCCTCCCAAAGTGCTGGGATTACAGGCGTGAGCCACCACGCCCGGCTGCAATCCATTTTTACTGTTCATTTCATGAAGACCTTCTAGAAGCAGGAAAAAGAAGATGCCATGCCTTCCAGTCATGCTTGTTTAAAGCCATGCTTACTTGCTCTTTTATATTTCCTTTAGAAAACGTGGTCAACATTTTAATAAATTAGCGGTTGGATATTACCCTGGGCCCCCGAGTTCTGCCTTCCCTAGCCTGGGATGGGACACAACATAAGAAGGAGCGTAAGTGTGCTTGGGCGTGGCATTGGTAGGGAGTGATTCGTCTGTCTTTTTTGAGCCCTAAGACCCCCATCTTATTGAAATGAAAAGAAATTCAGGTATGTCTGGTCCAGAGAGAAAAGGTCACCCCCAAATCAGGGACATCCAAGATGACACCCAGGATGAAAGATGATGTCATTATCTATCCTCTGGTTTAAAACTGTTTCCCTCAGGATTGTAATTTGGCTCCTCCAGTGGGTCTGTCCATGGAGGGAGAGAGAGTGGATATATTCACAAAAGTACTTGAGTTCCTGTGACATCTGCTTTTGCATTTTCCTCCCACTCTCCATGTCTTTTTGTCATACAACACTTCCTCATTAAACGAGGGGTATAAACTAGAAAGTTGTAATGAAGATGTTTCTTGAAATGATTTCTGCAGACCAGCGACCTTCCAGGCACCCCATTGTCTCTCCAGTGCTCGCTTTCAAGCCCAGCCTGGCAGGAGGGGCAGAGTAGCATGTTACAAGGGTGCTCATGAGGGCACGCAGAAAGCTATGTGGTTTGGGGTCAGGAAACCAGGTGCCTGGCTGTCAGGCTACACCCACAGACCCAGGCATCACCACCAAGTCAGGTGTCTCTTGGTTTTAGCCGCTCTAGAATTATGAGTTGACAATCAGATGGCACAGAAGCCTGGAAACTAAGTTATCAGCTAATCAGAAAGGCCTGCTTGCATGTGGTTCAGACATCCTGAGGTGGTAGCACAGTGTGGCATAGGGTGGAAATTGCTGTCCCCAGGGTGAGTTATGGTGTCTCTGTGTGTGTGCACACATGTGCGTGTGTGTTTGTGGTTGAATACAGAGAAACTATCTTTGTTTTTAACGATCAGATGAACAATGAGTGTTTTTGACAAATGGAATTTTATAACAACTTTGTAAAGAGAAGTAATTGTATATTTGTACCAATACAAAGCCTACTTAACATTTAAGACAAGTGACAGATTTTCCGATGTTATTCAGCAGATAGAAATACTTATAGGAATCCTAAAATATTTAATGTTAATTACACAACTAAGCAATTTATTCTTGAAAACACTCTCATAGTAAAGCATTCATTGATTACAGACAAACTAAATGTCTTCTTCACCACCTTCCACCACCCCGACTTCTTCGAGGAGCTAAGCACTGTGGCTATGTGGATATTAATCCTTCCAAAGCCTTTCTCTGCACTTATAAACATGTATATGTTCCTAGACAAATGGATAGTGTTTGGGTGTTTTGTTTCTATCAGAAATGCCATTACATTGAACATACCATCTATTATACAAGTTGCTTTGTCTGTTCAGAAGCATACCCTGGGGATCTTTCCATGTTAATACATGTAGATCCAGATTAATTCTTTTAAACGGCTACGTAGTATTCCATAGAATGAAAGTACCATCCTTCATGTAATCACCATCTCCTTGATGAACATGTAGGTGATATTTTATCTTCACCCACATAAGTAAGGCAGCCACGATATTTGTTACAATGCCTTCTTGTAGAAATGCATCCAATTTCTCGAAGGGACGCCAGAATGGAGTTGCTCTGATACAAGGAATGCAAACTTTATATCTTAGCAGATATCACTATCATCAATTTCCAGTGTGGCTGAACCCATTTCTGTGCCCTCAGGAATGGGTGAGAGACCATGATTCCCAACCCCAGTGCTTGATACTAAACTAATAATGGCTTGCCTATTTGAAGGGTGAAAATGTTGTGTTTATTTAACATGCATTTCCCTACTACTAGCTAGCTAGGGCGCCTTTTCATATGTTTTTTTCCCCTCATCTGGGAAAAAAAATTTTGTGCCTTTGAAAAATGTGACCTATCTTTTTGTTTTTGTTCTGAAGGAACAGAACTTCTTTCCTAAGAGAATTGCAAAAAGCAAGTGGCGACATACTAGACATTTTTATTTATTTCAGAAAGTCATAAAAGCAATGGCTTGCATAGAAATAGAGAAAAAAGGCTGTGGTGTGTGTATGTGCATGTTTTTTTTCTGTAGAGTGACGCTAACACCCACACACCTTTAGCAAATGGAGTGAAGCCCCCAAAGATTGCAAGGGCAAAGATGAAAGACAAAGAAAAGAAAGGCAGTTCTACCAGATGCTTTACAATAAGAAAAGCTACTTGCAACCAACATCTGAAATCTGGCTTCCATGTTCTGCAGAGGCATTGTTTGCTTCCCAGGGCCAACTGTTTCCTGTAGAAATCCTTTCTATAGCAGGAGCTTGGGATCTGGCTGGTGCTTGTCAGTTGCTCATCTAAGGAAGTGATGTCAGCCTGTGGTCCTCACCTGGGGTTATCTGAGGGGCTCATCACTTACTAGTACTGACTGAGACGGGGGAGCAGCCAGGTGGCAGCAAGGAATGGCAGGCCTAGGCTCATCAAATCACCCTCAACCGCAGCAGAATTTATCACCACAGTGCATCTCTTGGGGGAAAGCTGAAGTCTGGGGGCATGAGAGAATGAGGTGTAAGAATGAGAGATGCAGAGGGGCCAGAAAGGAAGGAGCTCCATCCTCTCTGGAGTTTGTTCTGACGCGTGTGGAGGAGGCTATGGAGCAAATACAAGTATAAACCCTAAAGCTGGGCTGTGGTGTCGATCAGAGAGCTCAGGGTGTGTGGCATACCCATTTAAGCTTCTGTTTAAATCGTGTTTTGAAAGATTGGCAAGGGAGAGATCAAGACAATTTTAGAAAACATCTGTGGGGTATGTTGTGTTTCTACTCTTCATGAATGTGGCTAGTAAACTGAAACTCTCACTGACGAGATGCTAATTTATGAGCCCAGTGAGATTTGCAACAAACTAGCCCAGGAATAGAACAGAGGATGGGTTCTAGAACAGAACATGAGAACTTCCTGGCGGGCTTGTTGAAGTGGAGATTACT